CTTCGCTTACTCGAACGCTGGGATCGTTGGTTCGAATCCCACTCAAGGCATGAATGTTTGTGTGCATTTATTCCGTGTTTGTATTATTCTATATGTAGGTAGCGGCGTTGCGACGGGCTGATGCCCCGTCCAAGGAGTCCTGCCGGCTGTGTATAGATTAAAAAACTGAAAGGCGGCCAAGGTCCACAAGGGCTGTAGAGACATACACAGACAGATATATACGAGATAGATAGGGAGCGACAGACAGATAGATACTGCTGAAATACGAACTTTGCTCATTTTATTATGTCTTATATTTTGCTCTTTGCTTCAAGCTTCAAGTAATATACATAAACTGCAATGAAAGCCGTTGGAAATTACGTATATTTTATTTTGTAATATGAATTTTAAAAACAAGTTTCCTGATATTAATTTGTTTTTCAAATTTTATGAAAATGTCGAGGCAGTTGAGAATGAGTATTGTTCAAAACATCACTCATGATTTAGTATATTTCAGCTGATTAATTACTCAGGAATTGTCCGTAATATACGCAGTATACATATATAAATGTACACAGTACACAACATTTGCAATCGGGGATCCATTTAAATCACTGTTACTTAATCACTTGAGCACGTAGTTGACTTCTGAAACATGTTTTTATAAAGTAATAGATTAAAAATATTTCAATTTGTTTAATTTAGAGGTTGAAGAATGGACCCAGGGGATTGCGCGAAATAATCTAAATGGAAAAGTGGATTTCTTCTTCGTTAAGTGGGTCTATCCAATGTAAAGCATTTAATGGAATATATGAAACTAATATAAGGACGTCTTTATCAACATCAGAGGTTCTGTAAACCTGGATTAAGGAAAAATTCACATAATTATTTTTAACGCGATGTAACACTAAATAAACTTCTACGTTCCACAGACTAAAAAGGAGTCTGGATTGTACTGAATTCAACTAAATGGATGCACACGTGACACATGCGGATTAAAAATTTACTAAGCAAATGAACATATGGGCCAGTGACGTGTTAAAAGAATGCCGTGGAAGTAACTGCATCAGAAAGAAAACTCGGGAATTACATATACATATCAAACCCAACTTCATTAAGATAAGACACAGTGTTAGATTCATTACTGCAGTTTTCCTTCAGGACGCTGTCACAATGTGCCTTGAATATATGAGGTTCGACATTTCTAATCACAACGTTGGCATTCCTGCAGGATTTGAAAATAGTAATAGGGACGCAAATCTGCATACATATAGGAGCCGGGTCACTTTACAATGTGCCAGATCGGTATTACCGAAACATATGCCGCAAGATAATACAAATACAATTTAACATTTGGAAGATAACATTTAAAATACTTAAGTCATACGGCATATATCGAACGTCAATCGCCTACTGTTCATTTGATTTAAATAATGTCCATACTCCAAGATCAGCTGGTGGTGACGTATGCAGTCGTTCAGCTGCTCCTGCATGCGGCAGAACACTTCCTGAGACATCTGGACTTGTTCTTCCTCCTCTGTGTCAGTCTCAGCGCCCGAGTCCTGCGCTGGTGTGCCGAATTCCTGTCTGATATCCAGGAGGTTCGCTCGCAGCTTCTCCAGCTGACTGCACGCGATACATACCAACGTGGCGTACAGGCTTGTGAAGGCAACGAAAGAGCACAAGCACATAATGGATCCGATGAACTGTTGGCCAAAGACATAGTTATCAACTGTGATACATTTTAGGTGTTAATTGGATTTTCCTATTTCGGATGGGCTGTTGAGAAATAGTTTGTGAAATATTGATCATTCTGCCACGAAAGGCCTAGGTTCCATNTTTGTGTTTTTTATTTATATAAGGGTATGAAGTTGTACTTCAAATTTTGCCGTAAAAGATATTTGTGTTTCGAGCACTGAAACAGTGGTTAGAGGAGTGTATCTGTATTCTCTTAAAGCCTTCTGAGAGGTACAATGTTAATTAGATTCTTGTGACCATTTGTGCCCTTCAGTTTATCAAAAATATAGTGTTATGTAGCCTGTTGAAAAATGAAATTTAAGGAGAGAATGTTATTTTCTTATTACTCGATGCTTTTAAATAATTTAGATTAAGTCACGGCCTTCCATTACTTCCAATAATTTCCATTATTCTCAAGTAATGTGCTGGGAAATTTCTTTCTATGCTGTCCCGAAAATTGGCTGAAGCTTGCTCTTCTTCAAAGATATTTTCTCAATGATTGTCTTATTCGCTGGGTCATTGTGATTTTCAGCGAAGAAGATTTTTAGTGTGTTCCTATACACGATTACTTTAACAGCTACTGCCTGTCCTCCTATTTACATGATAAGCAACATCGGCAACCACTACCTATGTATAGCGCAATGATAGTATAAATGTTTTAGTTCTTTGAGAACAGGTTTAGTATGTGTATAGGAAAATTTTGTGACATCTCTCCGAAATATATCTTGAAATTCTTGGATTGTAAGTAGTTGCTTTGAAAACAGTGTATCAAAGAATATGCCAATGAATTCTCTCAATAATTTTATTTTCGTTCAGTCAAGTTTACCAACATATTAAAAACAAAATTTTATTTATATATCGAAACATGAAAACTGTATTTTTTCTTATAAAATGTTATATCTTATCTCTATTAATCACTTTAACGCTCTGTTCTGTGTTCATTTTAATGATTACATTGTCCTCAGCTTCAATAGGAACTCTCCTATGACGAGATGTCTAGAAGTTAGTGCTCGGACATCACCTGTAGCACTGGAAATTGGGACAGCATACCTGGGTCGCATTCACAATCTCGTATTGTGGGCTGCTTAACGTTTCGAAAGGATACCATGTGTTGAACTGCAGGAGACGTCCCTTGCTGGAAACATTGCGGAAGAAAATATAGGTGAAATGTATGAAGATGAGAAGAGCAGAAATTTTCTTAGCAGACGTATTAATACGACGGATCCATGCTGCCATTGTCAAGCGTCCGGTATGTGGATCCCGTGTTGGTGCGCCCTCCCAAGTGAATGGCTTGGTGAGACCCAGCAATCGCTCCACAGCCTCCCTTCGTAACCTGGAAAAACGAATGGGTAATATTTTCTGATTATTTAGTCGTGGCGCCTGAGATGCGCATGGGAGTAATGCTCTCAAAGATGCTTACATAGAAGAACTATAGTTTGTATATATTTCATCACTGTTTGTGTATTCCTCACGAATCACATGAGAATGACCTGTCTTGGCTGAAATACGTTGTGAATTTGTTTTTGCAATGGTAACCCATCCATTTTCACATGTGTCTCGAGGAAAATCAAGTCGGGGTATCGTAGTCGGTATAGCGACTGGATACGGGCTGGATTATTGAGGGGTTGGGAGTTCGAGTCCTGGTAAGATCAAGAATTTTATCTTCTCCACGTCGTCCAGACCTACCCATTTTTCCATTCAATGCGTATGTTGGTTTCTTCCCTTGGGATAAAGCGGCTGGAGTGTGAAGCTAACCTCTCACCTCCAACTAGTCCACGTGTCAAGAAAATTTGGATCTATACATCGATTCCCCCATACGCCTTCATGGCGTAGTGCTTAATTAGTTAAACACAGAAACAACTTTACCTTTTACATTTTATCCCAAAGATAATTGTGACGCAATTTAATTAAATAATTTAATCAACTCCTAACTCCTTTGTGATCAACCGAAACATTTTTTTGATCTATATTTTCTGTTATTTTTCTGGAACAAATCTACTTCGCTTTCGCTTGATGCCTGCTACGTCTAAAGAGAATAGAGTATTACCCACACACTTTAAAACGATCCGCTATTTATTGTGGGATTTGATATCTCACGTTAGTGACTCTGAAGAGTACAGTCTTCTCGGTTGTAACTCGTTTAGAGAGGAGAGAGCCATGCTCTAGAGAGGAACATCTTGCCTCAATCTTCAGGATCGAAGAATAAGCCACGCAAGAACTCAGCTGAAGCAGGCCGCAAGCTCGCCGCCTGCTTGTGTTCTAAAGTTGGTTGCTTAATGGAGCTGTAGTAGCTATAGTGTATACCACTGGCTCTAATAAACAACGTGCGTGGAGCAGTTAATGGAATTAGAAGCAAGGAAAATGGATAACATCCGTCCCAACGCCACTTTGTGCACCAAAAATTCCGCATGACAACTTGGGATGTAATCCAGGCCAGCGGGTGGAAATCCAACGACTACACCTGAGCTATGGCGGGGCCCCTGCTTCTCCTGGTTTCTTACTTAGCACGTTCCTCAAAACGCCTGACTCTCTCAAAACTAGACGGAATTAGAAACATTATTTACAAATTGCAAACGTTGAATATGCTGAGACCACTGGTGCTTCACTTCTGGAGAGGATTCCGAATATATACGACGGCTAAGAAATTAAAAATAAGAAAGTACGGGCTCAGACAAATAAATTTTGAGACTAATTTTTCAATATTTTTCAAAGTAATCTCTCTCTGATTTTTTACAATGTTCCCAGCGCTTCGGTCACTGTTGAAAACAGATTTTAAAATCATGAACAGGAATATCTGTCATTTTTTCCACATATGATTTAATGTCTTCAAGGTCCGAGAAACGTTTTGCTTTCAGCACACTCTTGTGTTCTGGAAGCAGTCAGAAGCCAGCTGGAGCCAAGTCAGGAGAATAAGGCGGATGGTCCATGGCAGAGATATCATTTCCTGCCAAAAATCTGCGACACTCGAAGCGAAGAATGTGCCGGCGTGTTGCTTGGTAAAGAATAAATTAGCGATCTCTCCACAACTCTCTCACTTGTGCCCCAAGGCAACAATAAATCTTTTCAAAACCTCCAAGCAGAATGTCTTATTAACAGTGGTCCCTTCGGGCACAAAATCAAAGTGGATGATACCACTGATGTCGAAAGAGAAGATCAACGCCGTTTTGATATTGGATTTTAACACTCGTGGCTTCTTTGGCCTGGGGATTCACTGTGAACTGTTTTTAAAATCTCGAACGTTTAAATTGGCGATTTCTGTAGCTTATCACAAAATTCGCATTCAATTTCTGTTCCAACGTAGGCTCCATTTTCACGTCTGAACGAAGTTTACGACACACCGCGACCTAACGAGCTACTCCTCAATGCAGTTTATCCAAGCTTTTCATGTGAGCTGTTCCTTGTTGCGTCACATAATATTCCAAGTAAAAGCTTTGCCAAACCCCCAGCACCAAATTAGAAATGAGTGTTGAAGTTCATTTGCCCAAACTTTTATTAAGCAAGGAAAGATAGATGCGGTCGTTCTGGTTGGTCACTATGAAAACGGAAACGTAATTTCGGAATGCATAGGACACAAAGAATTTCTTGTGCAGATGAGAAAAGATAAGTTTGTAAAAGTTGACCTTGAAAATATAATGAGGTGCTGTATAAATCTTCATAAATGGCATGTAATTTCATGAAAGTGTTAATATAGCGGGGGGTTTTTATAATTCTGTTACAATGCTGTTTGTGTTGGATTGAAGGTTCATAAGTATCGGGTGTAGGGATGAAAGGTATCGAAAATAAAAAATTATATATCTCGGAAACTAATTGTCATATACGTATCCGGTTTACGCCATTGGAAAGGAAATTCCTGTAAGTTTATTTTTTTCATGCCCGACTTACGCGCATGCGCCGCCACATTTCTGCCACCATGCTAGGAATCACTTGGACAGAGTGATGGCTGGGAGATAGATCGGCAGGAATGTATCAACTGCCTGGCCTCTTGGGTCGCCAGATTTAACCCCTCTGAATGTTTCTTGCGGGGTTATGTGAAGAACAGGTTAAGATCAACGACCTGCAACACCTGGAAGCCCGCATATGTGATGCTGTGGCTACAGGAACACCAAACATGCTGGATCGTCGGGATATTTGTCATGCCAACAAAGGAGCCCACGTTGAAATTTATTGAGAGAGTTATATACTCAGAAATAAAAAAATTTAATAGTTTCCCTTTGTAGTGGTGTAACCCAAAAACTTGTATAATAAAAGCTTTCTGAGATATAATTATTTTATTTTTAATATCTTTCATCTGGACACCTTGTACATGCAGGATCCAGAAACGAATACATGAATGAAACCTCATTTATATCCGAATTTAGAGCATAATAACGCCCGAATATCGAATTTCTTTTATATTGTACATTCGTGTATACATTTTTAAAATTATTTCATACTGAAATTCCAACACACGCAAAGCTTTTCAATCATTGGACACTGAGTTTACTCAGGAAGTGCAAAACAAACAAAATCACAAAATTAGTATGAAACTTCATGACTTTTCAATTACATTGACTTCGGAAAATTTTCTTAATGACTGTCATCAAAGTAAACAGTATCATCTCCCCGATATTACAAGAATTAGGTGTTTTTGTGTTGGTATATTTGTGCCATACCTCATGAATTGATGAATACATAAGCCACTCGCAATGGGGAAGGCCAGTCTGACGCCTTCCATTGCACGTTCCATATTGTGTATATTCATGTAAGTATCCATAAGTATTGCAACAAAATTCATATAAAAGCAAATAAACGATAAAACGAACATTACACTTGACTCTCTTGATTTAAAAATGGGACACCCTGCAATACGGAACATGAAATTATGGAACCAAAAACGATTTTCTACAAGCAGTTGCTTCTGAAACAATTTCTTTTCTTTCATTATGATAACCGAAAATTTAAGTACTGAGATTTG